TGCTATTATAATTGTTTTCGATTGTTTCATTGTTGTTACTTTGGTTCGCCAAATTTTGTTCTGCATTTTTCTGTCCATTGTCTTTATTTGTTTTTTGCTTGCTCCTCTGTTCATTCTCCTCAGCTTTTTCATTTTTCATCTCATCCTTTCCCTGTTTTACTTCTTCTTCTCTAGCCTCAACTGCCTTATTTCTTTCTAGAGCATGACAATTGATTATGTTGTGACCAAGTTTTTTTGCAGAACCTACAATACTTAGGTACGCCCTCATATTCCAACTTTTGAACAAATCCTATCTGAGGTGAGTTATCATGAATGCAGCCCACATAAAAAGTTTCAAGTTGAGGCTTAAGCAAATCGATTTCAATTCTAACTGTGGCCTTACTCGGTCTAGTCCTTCCCCTATTCGCCAGATCCATTTCAAGCCGAGTGCCACTAGAACTATCCACTTGTTTTATGTAATGCCAAATATGCATATGAAAAGGAAGACCAGGTAACAAGACCCATACCAGAGCAATTGACAAGTCTTCTTCAGGTTTAAAGTCTGGCGACCATTTCTGTAACCACATCTGATGGCCCTCAATTTGAATAACTCTTCTATACCATACTGTGTTAAAATCTTTCTCGTAAGTGAAATCAAGAAAGACATTAAAGTTGTCGAAGACCCCAATTTTAGCTGATCCTTTGAGAGAAATCAGTTCCTTGAATTTTGACTTAATTCGATCGAATTGGGGTCTTATTATTAAGAATCTGCCAACGATAGTGAATTTGCATTCAGCTACCATTACACAATAGTAGTCAGATGCATTAAAGAGCACAGTCGGTATCCCGTTGTGGGAGTGTGAGTAGCTATTATCGATTCCCGTTCCTGACATATTGTCTTTGAAGATGAGTTTGGAAGAGTGGTGACTTTGGTAGCATATGAAAGTTTACTATCGATTCCTTCTAGAGGTGGCTTCGCCATATGGTTGGTTGTCATTTTCCCATCCAGATGCGAGGGAATGACGTTGTCAGGCGGCTCCATACGATAGTATGTGAAGGAAACTCGCGAGTGTTAACTAACCGTTGTGGGTTTTCCAGAGAGAGAAAGAGGAGATTTCTTTTTGTTTGGCCATTAACAATTAAAGCATAACTCTTACATCTTCAATTGCAGAAAGAAGTCTCTCAAAAGTTGCCCTTACCCGAGCTCCAAAACTTCCAAAATAAGAAAAACAATCAAACCCTTTGAATATAAACTCTTCCAGTGATTCCACATCTGTGTTCACAATATTTCATATGTGATTTCCCCTCAGCCAATGACCTTCCACATTTGTGGACCATAACGCGCATATGCATATCAGCATTTGTGGTCTTTGTCCATCAAGTGCGGCCCCGCTTCTGCGCTTAGACTTACGCATCAGCAAACTCCTGCTCTTCCAACCAACTTTGCTTATGTGACGACCTAACCACATCTGTGGACTCGCATTTGCGTTCATACATCCGCAGATGCGATGACACCAGTTCTGGCATACTTCAACAAATGCAACTCAAACCAAAACAAGCTGAAACCAATCCAAAACACACCCAAGGGCCGCGGGGACCCCGTCCAAACATACCAACAAGTACTAAAACACAACACAAACCTACTCAAAGCCTCAAATCACATAAAATAACACCAAAACCACGAATAGCACTACAATAAAAGTCTAATAAAACTAATGAACTTCCAATTTCTAAAACTCATGTCGAATCATATCAAACCAACCCAAAATTACCTTAAATATTGTGCAAGTCCCAAATGACACAACGGTCCTATTACAACTCCAGGAACTAAAATCTGAACCTTATATCAACGAATTCATCTATTGATCAAACCTATCAACCTTCCAAGCCTTCAATATTTTCAACTTTCGCCGAAAAGCTTCAAATCAACCTACGGACCTCCAAATTCAAATCCGAACATATGCCTAAGTCCAAAATCACCATATGAAGCTATTGAAATAATCAAAATACCATTCCATAGTCGTCTACATAAAAATCAAAATCCAGTCAACTCTTACAACTTAAGTTTTCAACCTTGCGACTAAGTGTCCCAATTTACTCCGAAACCTCCCCGAAACCAAACCAATCACCCCGGAAAGTCAAGTAACCACAAAAACACATATATAAGGCATCAAAAAAGGGGAACGAGGCTAAAATACTCAAAACGACCAGCCAGGTTGTTACATTTTTCCCTCTTAAGCATACGTTCGTCCTCGAACGGGTCTAGAATCATACCTGGAGTCTCAAAAAGTTGAGGATATTTGCTCCACGTCTCCTGCTCGGTCTCCCAAGTAGTCTCCTTGACCTTCTGACCTATTCAATAAACTTTCATAGATGCAATATTCTTTGACCTAATGTTTCGAACCTGCCGATCCAAAATGGCCACTGGCTCCACATCATAAGTCTTATCTCCATCTAATTGTACCGTGCTGAAGTCCAAAACATGTGACAGATCACCATAATACATTTGGAGCATAGATACATGAAATATTGGGTGAACTCCCGATAGACTAGGTGGTAAGGCAAGTCTATAGGCCACCTCTCCAACTCTCTCAAACACCTCAAAAAGACCAATATACCTAGGGCTCAACTTGCCCTTCTTCCCGAACATCATCATACCCTTCATGGGGGAAACTCTGAGTAAAACCTTCTTACCCACCATATATGCAACATCACGAGCTCTCTTGTCAGTATAACTCTTCTGCCTGGACTGTGTTGTACAAAGCCTCTCCTGGATCTACTTCACATTCTCCAAATCATCACGGACCAAATTAGTGCTCAACAACCTAGCCTCCCCAGGCTCAAACCAACCAAATAGAGAACGACACCACCTCCCATATAAGGCCTATAAGGATCCATCTTGATACTCGACTTATAGTTGTTGTTGTAGGCGAACTTTGCTAATGGTAGAAACTGATCCCATGAACCCCCAAAATCAATAACTCGGGCACATAACATGTCCTCCTAGATCTTGATAGTGCGATCAGACTGTCCGTCCCTCTAGAGATGAAATGTTGTACTGAACTCGACCTGAATGCCCAACTCTTGCTGCACTGCCCTCCAAAAATGTGAAATGACTTGAGTGCCTCAATCTGAGATAATAGACACCGGCATACCATGAAAGCGAACAATCTTATGAATATAAATCTGAGCCAGCTGGTCAGTCTGTCTATAATAACCCATACTGCATCACATTTCTTCAAGTCCATGGAAGTCCAACTACAAAATCCATCATGATACGCTCTCACTTCCACTCCGAAATATCAAGCCTCTGAAGCAAACCACAAGGTCTCTAATGATCGTACTTCACTTGCTGACAGTTCAAACACCGAGCAACATACTCAACAGTATCATTCTTCATCCTTTGCCACCAATAATGATACCTCAAATCTTGATACACCTTCACGACACCCGGATAAATGGAATACCGCGAACTATGAGCCTTCTCAAGTATCAACCCTCTCAACCTATCCACATTTGGAACACAAATACGACCCTACATCATTAATACCCCATCATCTCTAATAGTGACCTCTTTAGCACCACTGTGCTACACCGTGTCCTTAAGGACAATCACATAAGGATCATCATACTAACATGTTTTGATGCGCTCGAACAAAGAAGACAGTGAAACTACACAAGCAAGAACCCGACTAGGCTCCGAAATATCCAATCTCACAAACCGATTGGCTAAAGCCTCAATATCCAATTCTAACGGTTTCTCCCCAAATGGAATATAAGCAAGATTCCCCATGCACGTATCCTTCGAAGATGCGTCCACAAATTCCTGCACCCGCGACGTTCCCAGATTGACTAACATGCGCTTCTGCACATAATGCACCGTAGATGCGACTACGCATTTGCGCAACCATTCTCGCAAGTGCGATGCACCAGAACCAGTTGTGCCCTCAATTCCCAAAATGGATAGAAATCTATCTGAAATACATCCGAACTCCTCGGGATCTAGTCCAATCATACTAATTAATCCATATACCTAATTCAAACTTATCCAAAGGCTCATACACTGCAATTAACATCAAAACCACATATTGAAGGTCGAGATCATTCTCTTAACTTTCCAACATTCAAACTTCAACAAACTTGTCTGAATCACACTTCGACATTACGGATCACAACCAAACTTTGCACACAAGTTTCAATTGACAAAATGAACCTATTCCAATTTTTGAAACAATAATCCGAACCCGATACCATCAAATCAACTCATGGTCATACTTGTGTACTTTCCAGTTCTTCAAATTGCCAAATGTTTGACAAGCAGGGCCAAAACCTTCTAGGAACAAACCAAATTTCAAATCCGAACATACGCCCAAGTCCACAATCGCCATACAAACTTATTGAAACCATCAAATTTCGATTCCGATGTGCTTTACTCAAAAGTCAAATCTTGGTCATCTCTTCCAACTTAAAGCTTTCAAATTAAGAATTACTTTTCCAAATCAACTCCGAACCTCTCGAAAGTCGAAACCAATTACACACAAGTCATAATGCATAATATGAAGTTTCTTAAAGTCTCGAACCCCCAACAAAGTGCTAAAATTAAAAATGATTGTTCGGGTCGTTACAATTTAGTACTACTAGCATATGCAAGGGAATTAAATAAAAGTCACCATATATAGCTTATTCTGTGCATGGAATCTAAGCAAGTGACAATTGGTCTCAAATTTTTAAAAACCTATGAAATACAGGGATTTTTTAGCTTATTGATAATAATACCCCATATTCAAGATAAGATACATTTTAAATAACCGTCTGAGTTTCATCATTCATGACTTTTTCTTCTTACCAAAATTGCAATTTTTAATACTTTGACCAAATAGAGAACTTTTGATATTTTTGTTACATTTGGAACTAAATCAGATTTAGTAAAGTTGGTAACAACTTAATTACTAAAGGAAAACAGATACCATGGGGTTCCATTTGTGTCCTATGTAAACTCATGTTTTTTTATCATTCTCCCATCCATCAATTCTCAAGTTGCAGCTATACATGAAGGGAGATCACAACGATGACGAGGAAGATGAAGATGTTGGAATTCAATTCCAACGACATGAATCCTGTAGAAGGGTTTATCCAAATTGAATCAACGAGTCACCAAATTGTAAGATCTTTACTTCATTGACTTTTCCTTAATTGATATATATGTTATATCTATTTGTGCTTTAATATCTAACCCTTGTAAACGTTAATGTGCTTAGGTTATGGAGCCCCCGTGCTTGTGTGGGCTCTTTTTTGCACAGCACTTTCTGTCAAAGACCATGGTATAGATCTAATGAACATAAATTTGTTTCTTAAAGTAACACATTAACAAAAATTTAATTCTTTCTTTTATTTTCAGATCCATAATGTGCATGGCTTTGTATCCATAGTCACATAGACATGACTGACACGGACTTATAGCTGGATCGTGACAAGTGTTGAGAGAATGTCAGTCTTTTAGGGTAATTTTTGGTGATGTCATTGCTGAAAAATGCAACTGGAAAATAATATCTTGTATCTCTATTTTTGTGGTCTCACAGCCTTTACGTACCTAAAAAGGGATTCTATATGCAACTAGTGATTACATGCTGACTTTTATTAATACGTTCCTATCTGTAAAAACTCTTGGTTTCGAAAGAGAATTGGGTCTTGAATTTTTGTATTGCGGATATGAATATTAAGTAGCTAATTAGAAATTGTAACAGTAGCATGGATACAAAAATGACATTGATTCACATCTCATACTTAGATACGTGAATCCAAGATCTACGATTAATGGGTTTAGAATGAGTATAAATTTATTAATTATAAGAATACATTTTAAATATTTTCTGCATATACGTACATATTTTGAGAAAATCCCGATCGACTCGGCATATAAATACATATATCGAGTAAAAACGATGGGATCAATTGAACCTACAAATCCCCGGCTATCTGCTATGATCATACCGAAGCAGCACTAAGTGCCGATCAGAACCCTATAGTTTTGATTTGTGACAGTTTCATTCTAATTTTATTTCTTATTTAAATCTTGAATTAATTAGATAATCAAGAGAGTTGTCAATTATATCTTACCATTCACTAGTCAAACTCTAAAATCAGGTAATCTTACATCTATGCAAGTATCAGAACATTTAAGGATATGAGTATTAATGTTCACAAATAAATGTCATATTTAGAATCATTATATATGGTAACTTTTACATTGTTGGTAAGGTTTGATTCCCATCTTGTAATGTCAGGCCTCGTTTTCTCTTTTCCTCCTCCCCTACGTATAATAAAACATAAAACAGGAAAAAGAAGTGGGAATATAACATATTCAGTGACAAAAACTTTAGGGGTTAAGGGCTAGCTCACTTGGAGAGCTTCCTGCCATCTATAATTTTGTTTTAAAACGAAACTACGTGTTCCGAGGCCTTGAAAATCTCATTTAGAGTCACCTCGATTTGCGTGCGCAGTTCGGGCGCGTAGCCGGAAAGCTTAAATATGATAATCTGTGAAAAAACAATAAGTTTTGATTATAGAATGAGCTAATTTGACTTCGGTCAACGTTTTGAGTAAACGAACCCGGACCTGTGATTTGACGGTCCCGGAGGGTCCATAGGAAAATATGGGACTTGGGCGTATGCCCGGAATCGAATTCCGAGGTCCCGAGCCCGAGAAATAAATTTTCAAAGAAAATTATTTTCTGAAATTGTTTAAAGAAATTTGAAATGAAATTTGATTAGAACATGATGGCATCGGGCCCGTATTTTGGTTTTGGCGTCCGGTACAGGTCTTATATATGGTTTAAGTCATTTCTGTAAAGTTTGGTTGAAAACGGACGTCGTTTGACGTGATTCGGACCTAAATTGCTGAATTTGATAATTGATGAAGTTTGAGAAAAAGTTCTTGATTTTGAGGTTTGATTCATTATTATTGAGGTTATTTTGGTGATTTGATCGCACAGATGAGTTCGTATGATGTTGTTGAGTTAGTACGTGGGCTTAGTTAGGAGCCCCGAGGGCTCTGGTGTGTTTTGGGTGTGTTTCGGGAAGTTTTGAACTTAAGAAAAAGTTGCAGGTCTGTGAAGCCAGGCCACGCGGTCCGCGATGGAAGCTTCGCAACCGCGGTGGGGACTCCGCGACCACGGTGGGATTTGTGCGGTTCGCGGTGAGCAAGGTCAACCTTCGCGCCCGCTCTCGATTTCTCACGATCCGTGGTGGAGCTCCGTGGAGCTCCACAGTCGAAGCCTTTTTTGTGCGGTCCGCGGTGAGGGTCTGAGAGGGGTATAAATAGACGAGATTTCCAGTTATTTTTCATTTTTCAAAACCTCAAAGACTTAAGAGGCGATTTTTCCAACAAACTTTCTTCTCCAAATTAATTGTAAGTCATTTTTAACTAGTTTTCTTCAATCATTAATATCTTTTAACATGATTTCAACTTCAAATCAATTATTTTCATGAGGGAAATTGGGTGTTTTGGGTAAAACCTAGGTTTTTTCAAAAAATGGGGATTAGGACCTCGATTTGAGGTCCGATTTCAAAACAAATTACATATTTGGGTTTGTGTGGGAATGGATAATCAGATTTTGGTTCGAACCTTGGGTTTTGACCATGTGGGCCCGGGGGCGATTTTTGATTTTTTGGGTAAAACATTAGAAAACTCATTTTCATTCATTTAAATTGATTCATTTAGCATTTATTGATGTAATTGAGTAACTCGTGACTAGATACGAGCGAATTGGCGGTGGAATCAAGGGGTAAAGCTATAATTGAAGATTGAGTTGTGTTAGAGGCATCGAGGTAAGTGTTTGGTCTAACCCTAGCTTGAGGGATTAGGAGTTGTGTCCTATTTGCTATTTGTTTCTTGTTGAGTACGACGTATATGCATGGTGATGAGTATCTGTACGTGAGTGTCAAGCATGATCGTGGGTCTTGTATTGTGATTTTCATGACTTCGTTGTATTATTCATGCCTTGGTGAAGATTCATATTTGTTGTGTAAAGTCGTGGAAAGGAATTGTGACCTATGAACATTGAGGAGCATTGGCTCCAGTTGTATAAATTGTGAAAGTATAAGTGATAATTGAAACTTTAGAGTATTGGTTCGGGTTGTGAAGTGAATTGTGAAGAAAAAGTGAGAAAGAGAAGAGATCATTATGTTGCCTACTTGCCGGGCTATTGTGAGTTGTGGTTCCCTTGCATTGTGTTTTTAATTGATATTACGGATATTTAGGATGATGATTCTTGGTGTTAGGTGTTGTAACAAGTTTGGTTATAACTGAGGTAGTTAGATGTTCTAACAAGTTTGGTTATAGCTGAGGTAGTTAGATGTTGTTACAAGACTGGATCGGGTTGCACGCCGCAACAGATATTGTATTGGATCGGGTTGCACGGCGTAATAGATATTATATTGGATCAGGTTGCACGCTGCAATAGATATTATATAGGATCGGGTTGCACGCCGCTACAGATATTATATTGGATCGGGTTGCACGCACCAACAGATATTATATTGGATCGGGTTGCAGCCGCAACAATGTTTAATGATAAGGGATCGGGTTGCGCGCTGCAACAGTATTGTTATTGTATTGTTGTAGATATTGAGCTGTCCTTTCATATTTTATTAAGTTTCTGTTGGTCTTGATATGTTTCCCCCGAAGCATGTACCCCCTCCCATGTTAAACTGCGTATTCCTGTTTATTTGTTTCCACCATATATTATATAACTGCACAGGTTTATCTGGAGTTTAGTCCTAGCCTCGTTACTACCTCGCCGGGGTTAGGTCAGGCACTTACCAGCACATAGGGTCGATTGTGCTGATACTACACTCTACAATGTGTGCAGATCCAGGAGCAGATTTTGGACAGTAGTTGGAGGGCTTCCTTCAGTCCACTTGGAGACCCAAGTAGACCTGCAGGCGTCCGCAGGCCCTGGCGTCTCCCTCTATCTCTATTTCCTATTTCTTTTTCTTTTGCTCAGAAATAGTGTATTGTATTTCCTTCAGACCTTGTATATAGTAACTCTTAGACAGTCTGTGACACTGTGACACCAGATTTTGGGCACTTGAGGTTTTAAAAGTTGTAATAGACGCTGATTTCAAATATTTCATCGTTTCCTTCCGCTTAATTATTTAAGGTTCCGTTGTATTCATGTTAACGCTTATGTTTGTTAAAAAGAAGTAATTCGGTAATGAATTAGGTAGTTAAGGGTTGTCTTGCCTAGCTCTCATTAGTATGCGCCATCACGACTCCCGAGGGTCGGAAATCCAGGTCGTGACAAGTTGGTATCAGAGCTCTAGGTTACATGGGTCTCACGGTTCACAGACAAGCTTAGTAGAGTCTGAGAGATCGGTATGGAGACGTCTGTATTTATCTCCCAAAGGCTACAGAGTTAGGAAAACTTCACATTTATTCTTTCATATCGTGTGATTTGGTCCCTCAATGCTAATCGAACTTCTACTCTGTTCTTTCGCAGATGGCGAGAACATGCACTTCCTCATCTACCGCTCAGCAGCCCGAGCCCCCAGTAGCGGAGCCTCAGGTTGACTTTGATGACGAGGTTCCGGCTCTAGCAGCTCTGGTGGGCCCAGCTTATGTCTCAGAGGGGTTTATTGCCACCCCAGCCCTTCAAGATGCTCTTGTCCGATTAGTAGGCCTCATGGAGAGTGTCACCCGAGCGGGTTTGCTTCCTGTAGCACCAACCGTCTCTCGGGCTGGAGGAGGGGCCCATACTCCTTCTACTTGCACTACGGAGTAGGTAGCTCCCCAGATTCAGACTCCAGCGGTTCAGCCAGTTGGAGTAGTTCAGCCGGGTGTTGTAGCTCAGATCGGCGATGGAGAGGCTATGTCCGCCGATGCTTTGTGGAGGCTGGATAGGTTCACCAAGCTCTTCACTTCTACTTTCAGCGGTGCATCTAGTGAGGATCCCCAAGATTATCTAGATAGCTGCCACGAGGTTCTCAGGAACATGGGGATTGTTGAGTCCAATGGGGTCGATTTTGCTACATTTCTCCTGTCTGGATCCGCCAAGACTCGGTGGAGAGATTATTGCTTGGCTAGACCAGCCGGATCGCCAGCCTTGATTTGGAAGTAGTTTACAGTGTTATTCCTGGAAAAGTTTCTCCCCGTTACTCAGAGAGAGGCCTATCGGAGGCAATTTGAATGCCTCCAGTAAGGTTCCATGACGGTTACCCAGTATGAGACCAGGTTCATCGACTTAGCTTGCCATGCTCTTGTCATACTTCCTACCGAGAGAGAGAGAGTGAAGAGGTTTATTGATGGTCTTATCCAGCCAATTCGTCTTCAGATGGCTAGAGAGGCTGGGAGTGAGATTACTTTTCAGGAGGTGGCCAATATGGCCCGTAGAGTTGAGATGGTTTTGTCATAGGGAGGCGGACATAGGTCAGACAAGAGGCCCCGTCATTCAGGTCAATTTAGTGGTGCCTCGTCTGGAGGCAGGGATTCATATGGTAGAGGCCATCATCCTAGGCCCTTTCAGTCATCTCTTTAGGTTTCTCAAATTGCTTCAGGTAGTCGTGGTCCGTAGATGCAGTATTCGGATCAGCAGTCCTGCAGTGCACCACCAGCTCCTATTAGTGCACCGCTGCTCCAGAGTTTTCGGGGTGGTCATTCGGGTCGCCAGGGCCAGTCTTAG